GCGGCTGGTGCAGCTGGCGGGGGCGCCCGAGCCTGCCGAGCCCGGCGTCTACTGAGCCCCCCGCCCCGCCCGCGCGCTCGCCCCGCTCGCCTTCCCAGCACGAAAAATAAACCTTTGTAAATGCACTGGCTGGTGTCTGTCTCCCTCTCTGGGGGTGGGGAGGGGAGTGGCGGGGAGGATGGGGCTCGGATACCCTCATCCCCCGCCCCAGCCAGTCCCAGGGATTTCGTGGGGGAAGAGGTCTTGGGCCAGCAGAGTTCTAGATGGAACTGGGGACCAGGCGACCTAGAGGGGTGAGGAGGGGAAGGGCCAGGACGAGAGTGGCCGTGGAGGGGCTGGGTCGGGGATCTTCCGGCAGAGGGATAGAAGTAAAGGCAGAGAGGGGGAAAGATGTGGGTGGACAAGACAGCAAGAGAGAGACAGATATAGCAGAACGATGGCGAGAGACATTGAGAGTGACAGAGAGAAGAGAGAGAGAAAGGTGGAAGGGGACGACAGCCAAGGAGTGACCAGGAGTTCCTGTCCCCATTTACATCCCAGGAGACTGAGGCACAAACAGCTTCAGGGACCCACCCAGGTCCCCAGATTCCCAGTTCACTGTCTACTTCATTCAAGGCTGTGCCTTGTGTGAGTGTGTATGTGTGGGGGGGCCGCAACATCACCCCAGAGCCAGCAGAGAGAGGGCCCCATGCTATCTGTCCGGGAGGAAACTAAGCTCCCCCCACTGGGGCCCCTCAGCGAGTGAGGGAGACAGAGCCCACTGAGAACCCAGCTACATGCCCCCCTGATCCAGCTACACAAACCACACACACACTCAGGCCAACACAGACGAGAGAACAATTGTTAGAGATGTGCTCTGTGATCCTTGACCACAGTCACAGATCTAGACCCTGAAATACACGTTCAGAAGCACAGACAGGGCTGGCTCGATGGCGCAAGCGGTTAAGTGCGCGGGCTCCGCTGCGGCCCGGGTTCCCTGTTCAGATCCGGGCGCGCACCGCTTGTCCCGCCATGCTGTGGCGGCGTCCCATGTAAAGTAGAGGAAGATGGGCATGGATGTTAGCCCAGGGCCATCTTCCTCAGCAAAAAGAGGAGGATTGGCAGATGTTAGCTCAGGGCTGATCTTCCTCACACACACACACAAAGCAGCACAGACACACCCAGAAAAACAGACACGACGATGGCCCGGCACATGTACACACTCGCACGTGTGCACACACACTAGGACCTTCCACCCTTCGACACGTGCAGCTCCAGGGCAGATGTCTGCTAGCATTTGGCTATTGCTCTTCTCTGTCCCTGTTTGTCCCCTCCATTCCATCTGTCCCTTTATCCCCTTTCCCCTCACTCCCCTCTCTTCCCCTGTCCCTCCAGCTCTTTGGCCTGCTCTTGCTTCTCTCCTTGTCCCCCTGCATCCCTCCCTTGCTTCTTCTGCCCGCTCACCCCTCCATTACCTCCCATCCTTCTCTCTCTGCCCGCTCTGTTCTCTGCTTCCTCTCCTTGGGATTTCTTGCTCCAGGTCTTGGAGCCACAAGAGGGTACATCTCCTGTGGAGTCCTCTGTTGATTTGGAGGCCAGAAGGGAGCACAGGTGGAGAGAAGTCACTTTGAGCTCTGACCCCAACACCCTGACTAGGGCAGAGCCTCGTGACTCAGTCTCAGTCAGCCCTGGCTGGGGTCTAGGCACCAAGCCAGGGTTGGGCTCTCTTCTGGTCTTAGAGCTCCACGATTCTCTCATCCCTGACCTGGTTCAGTGTCCAGCATGATTAAGACTAGTGGGTGTGTATGAGTGTGTGTGTGCGTGCGCGCGCACGCAGGAGCCCTGCCGGCTTTAATCCCTACCACAGCCTCCTGCCTCTGCCCTGGTGTGGCCCATTCAGGGCCAGTTCCCAGGTCTGAGAAGGGCTGGGGCAGGACCACACCAAACAGGAATTGAGTATGCCTTCCAGATGGAGGGAGGTGGGAAGGGGCAGCTGGTTTTTAAAAAATGGATCATAGTCCTGAATGTAAAATCTAAAACTATAAAACTTCTTGAGGAAAATATGGAGAAATTCTTTATGACTTCGAGTTATGTAAAGATATTTTAGTTCTGTCACCAAAAGCAAGATCCATAAAAGAAGAAATTTGACGGGCCAGCCCTGGTGGCCTAGTGGTTAAGTTTGATGCGCTCTGCTCTGGTGGCCCAGGTTTGGTTCCTGGGTGCAGACCTATGCCACTCATCTGTCAGTGGCCATGCAGTGGTGGCAGCTCATATACAAAAGCAAGAGGAAGATTGGCAGCTGATGTTAGCTCAGGGTGAATCTTCCTCAGCAAAAAAAAAAAAAAAGAAGAAGAAATTTGATACATTTGAAATTCATCAAAATTAAGAACTTCTGATCTTTAAAGGACTGTAAAGAGAATGAAAATGCAAGCCACCGACTGGGAGAAAAGATTTACAATCACATGGCTTATAAAGGACTTATGTCCAGAATATATAAAGACCTCTTGAAACTCAATAATAAGAAAACAACCCAACTTTTTAAATGGGCAAAAGATTTAAACAAATACTTCATCAAATAGGATATATAGATGGCAAATAAACACGAGTAAAGATGTTCAACATCATTAGTCATTAGGGAAATGCAAATTAAAACCACAGTGATAGATCCATTACGATGGCTTTTGTTTTAAGAAAAAGAGCTGATAGTATCAGGTGCTGACAAGGATATGGAGCAATTGGAACTTGCATATATTGTTGGTGAGGGTGCAAGATCTTTCAATCATTCTGGAAAACTGTTCAATAGTTTCTCGTAACGTTAAACTTAAAATTACCACTTAGGGCCGGCCGGTGGCGAAAGCGGTTAAGTGAGCGCGCTCCGCTGCGGTGGCCCGGGGTTCGCCGGTTCGGATCCCGGGTGCACACCAACGCACTTCTTGTCAAGCCATGCTTGACAAGACATGGCGGCGTCCCATATAAAGTGGAGGAAGATAGGCACGGATGTTAGCCCAGGGCCAGTCTTCCTCAGCAAAAAGAGGAGGATTGGCAGATAGCACAGGGCTGATCTCCTCACACACACACACAAAAAATTACCACTTAACCCAGCAATCCCATTAATAGGTTGTTGTCCAAGTGAAATGAATACCTACATTCACACAAAAACCTGTATGTGAGTGTTCACAGTGGCTCTCTTGGTAATCCCCAAAACTTTATAAGTTTTAAAAGATTAGAATTTGAACTACGATCCTTTTTTTTTTTTTTGGTGAGGAAGATCAGTTCTGAGCTAACATCCGTTGCCCATCTTCCTCTCTTTGCTGAGGAAGATTGTCCTTGAGCTAACATCTGTGCCCATCTTCCTTTATTTTGTATATGGGATGCCCCCACAGCATGGCTTGATGAGCAGTGTGTAGGTCCTCACCTGGGATCCGAACCTGCAAACCCCAGGCCACTGAAGTGGAGCGTGCAAACTTAACTGCTACACCTCCAGGCTGGCCCCATATGATCCATTTTAAGTTGATTTTTGTGTAGAGTGCAATTATGGATGGAAGTTCATTTTTTTGCATCTGGATATCCATTTGTCCCAGCGCTATTTGTTGAAACAACTGTTCTTTCTCCATTCAATTCTTTGTAACTTTCTCAAAATCATTTGACGACATGCCTGTGAGTCTATTTATGGACTCTCTGTCCTGTTCCACTGATCTACAGCTCTATCCTTTCTCCACTACCACCCTGTCTTGCATAGGGTAGCATTATAGTAAGTCTGGAAATCAGGTAGTCTGACTCTTTCAATTCTGTTCTTTTTCAAAATTGATTTGGCTATTTTAGTTCCTTTGCCATTGCATATAAATTTTAGAATCAACTTAATGATTTCTACCAAAAAAAATCCTTCTGGAAGTTTGATTGGAATTGCGTAGTGATAGAATTGTGGCCAAATTTCCCAGCTTCTTTTGCAGTTGTGTGTGTCATATGACCACGTTCTTCTTAATAACATGTGAGTAAAAGGCATAGTGAGCTTGGGGTCCTAAGATAACGGGTGTGTCTCCTCCACACTCGTTCCCTTCCCACCCGGTGGAATCCACAGCGGCCCAGCCTCAAGCTTCCAGGCAGTGACAAGGCCTAGGGGATAACCAAACTATGTGACAGAAGAAACCTGGGTTCCTAAATGACAGAGTGCAACAGTGCCAGAATGCTCATCTGAGGCTCATAGGAGAGAGGGAAATAAACATCTACCTTCTTTCAGCCCCTACAGTCTCCTTCCCATTTGGGTGTCTTTATTACAGCCGCCTCACCTTACCTTAACTAACCACAATCCCTGAATTCTGAAACAATTGAAAAGTGAAACTAAAGAACATGACATACGGAGACCAGAATACTACCTTTATTATTGATAGAGCTGATCTTAGAGAATGAAACTTAAATCTGCTGCCAAGTGGTCTTCACAAAGCTGAATAACAAGTTAGAGATGTTTACTGTCCCAGGCACAAGGGGCCTGGATCTTCACGGCACTTTCCTGTTGAGTTTCTGCACGTGCGATGTTGACAGCATGTGCTTCCTGGGATGACAGCCTGATCCCAAGAGGAATCCGAGAGGAAGGGGTGGGTTGTGCATACTCCTTTCCTCTCAAACTTCTAGCAAATCAGCTACTTCTTCATCTTCCGGGAAG